AGTGAAGACAGGAAGGAGTAAGACAAGGTTCCCGTCTACTATCACCAATGATCTTCCTGATTGTGGCCGACTGGACTGGACTGGACTGGACTGGATCATGCAGCAAACCGTGAGGAGCGAGAAGATGGGCATACGCTGGCTGGGCCGATGAATAGACCCAAGAAGAAGATTTAGATTTCGCCGCTGATGATGATTTGTGTCTGATGTCTTGTGGTACAAACTCGAAGATCTACAGACAGAAACCAACAAGTTGACAGAAGAGGCACGACAGTGAAGACGGCACTTCAAGTGGATGTAGGGAAGACAGAGGTGATGAAGATACCCAACCAACAACAGCATCATCAACAACAACAACAAGCACCATCAACGGGAGAAACCTGGAGGAAATAGTCTCTTTCACCTACCTACCTAGGCAGCATCGTTTCAACTACAAGCGGCGGCACAGACGAGGATGTCGAAATCAGGATTGGAAAACCAAGACAGGCCTTCCTGCATTAACCTGAAATCAGTGTGGAGATTTACTGCACTCCACTCAGCATAAAGCGTGAACAAGATCCGAATTTTCAGCATCAAGTCAGTACTTCTATATGATTCAGAAACTTGGCTTGTTACGAAAAGCATTTCTAACAAACTACAGATATTCATCAACCACTGCGTATGCTCGACGCGGAAGATCAGGTGGCCAGAATAATAAGAATAAGGAACAAGGAACTCAAGGCCAGGCTCTTGAGTGGAATCCACATGAGAAACGACGAGTTGGATGACATGGAGATCTTGTGAGGAAGAAATGAAAGTTTGTGGGCAGTCGTGGTGCTAGGTTCAAAATACTGCAGATAACAGAGTGAAATGGAGGTGCGCTACTGAAGACCTATGTTTCACTAGGAACCCAAAGTAAAATTGGTAATAATAATAAGTCGTCACGAAAATCACCCTCGCACATTAATTGGTAAGTGCCTTAGGAATTGTAAGAAAATTATAAGTAACATAGTTATTAATGATAGTGGTATTAACAGCAACAACAATAGTGTTGATAATGATTCTAATAATGGTGGCACCAGTACTGTGAAGAAAGAATTCCAAACCTCTATAGTATAACCACACAAAGAAGGTACCTTAGAACGTGGCATTTAAACCTACAAACTCACTTCGAAATAAGCTTTGTAGGTTAGAAGATCCTGTTGACCCAATTAAGCAGAATAACTTAGTTTACCAAATCAACCAGGGTCAATTAGGCTATCCAAACACAAAATCCTAGCTGGGTCAAAATTGGTAGATCCTAGTAAGGTAAGGAATTTAGAAAAAGGCTCCGCCATAGAAATGAATGCCATTACACACAACCACACAACAGGATGGGACAGGATGAGAATCCTAAAAACTAACAACAGGATGGAGGGGGAGATTGGTAACCGAATCTCTGTTTACCAAACCAATACCTAACACATGCAACAGGAATGACTCAGCACCTGTTCCGGATATATAGAAAATCTTACTACCCATCTCACAAAGAGACGAGGAAATTAGGACCATATAAAGGACATCTCAAAGTTGTGTAGTTAGCTTGATATGACTGCGGACAATAAATTATGTCCGAAACGTAATCCAGTAAACAATACTGTTACACTGCGTGACAAATCTAATAAATCAGTAAAAATGGAATTATATTCTACCACAATGCAAAAGGTTTACTCTTATATTAGTTGATGTGGGTTTAGGGTAGGAAAAGGGTGGAGGTGGGCAGACTAAAACAGGTATCAATGCGTGGGATCTGCGACTGTTGGTCCGAGCCATGTAGGAAAATTCAGACTGGTCGGTTGGAGTTCACGTGACTACAGAAATCAGTTGTTGGAGACTCTAAATGATGTGGGATAGATGTATCCTCATCTTCATAATGAATTCATAATTTTCCAATTCCGTCTTGACTACTTTCTTTTGCTTCTGACCGACTCCTCTTTATTTCTTTATCCTTCACCTGAGTACTTTCTTGCTTGATGTGCTGACATGAAGCGTAGCAAATTGGGCCGCTATGTAGTAATAATGCCTGATTCTATTTTGATGGTGATGACAGTAAGTTCCTGATTACCAGAGTCTAGAGAGACTAGGAATGAAATGGCGCGGAAGATTTGTAACTCAAGCGGATGATCTTGTTTTCGTTGTACTCCCCAAGCTGGGTGGTTTGATCATGAAGCTTTCATTGTCTTTCTAGACATCATCAGGATTAACTCTAATGCACCACAGATATGCCGTTATAAGGATAGTTAAATACAAACCACGGCATTATAGACGCACCTCATATCAGCACATGAAGTAAAAAGGTAAAAAAATGGAAGATGAAGAAAGAAGGAAAGACCGGTCAAAAGAAGTAGAGAGTAGTAAGGCGAGGAAGGAGAAAATTAAATTAGGTGTAGCGGTCAGTATCAGGACAATGTGTACATACATGTGCCTCATTGACGTCGGTTCCGAGCTGTATCACCCAGTCTCCCACCACTGGTTTCCCTTGTCTCTCTGACCCCGACCAGCTAGGCTATATCGCCCTACATGGCTCAAACGAACAGTCAAACACTTCATGAATTGATCCCATGTTTTAGTGTGGCTGATACGAGCCTCTTCCCAGCATGAACCAAGTCCGGCCAAATTTGTGTGACGAGGGAGACGGTGGCTAGGCATACGTAACGCATGCCCCGGCCATCTAAGTTGATGTAGGGTCACAACGAGATCAACTGTCTTACCTTTCCTGCTTAAAACTCTACAGCTGACCTCTTCATTACTCACGTGGTGAGATCAGGAAGCACGGTCTGTGCTATGAAGACAACGGTGGTCAAACACCTGAAGCCTTCTCATGTCTTCTACCTTTATTGGCCAAGTTTCAGAGCCATACAGTAGAAGAGAGCGGACTGTAGCACAGCACATTCGACCCTTAATAGACGATCGGATATTGCAGTTCAGTTGGTAAAGCACCGGCCGGAATTACAGTGGTCGCGAACCCCGTCGCAGTCCAAATTTTCATTTCATCTTCAATCGTCCCTCAGTATCAATACAAGTCTACCGAACCACGGATATCTCAGATAGTCAAAATAATTTTCTCATACGATAAACATCGACTTGTCACTCTAGACTTTGGATCAACCTGATTCTACTTCAATGAACACTAGATACGGAAGAAGATGGTGACTCCGTATAAGTAACACATGCCAAAATCACCTCGGTGGATGAGAGTTCGTCACGAGCAAAGTACGTTGTATCAAAACAGAAACTTACGCCTTACCCGAACAATGTTCAATGTGACTTCATTAAGTATCAATGAGGATTTGAAAGCATTAATGGTCAAATATGTGTAATTTGCTAATGTGATCTCCGTATGTCACAACTGTACAGATAGATCTCACAAGACAGTCACGTATCCTGCAAACATATTTGAAATGCTAGGCTGTGCTATAACTTCATCAACAGCTACACCATTAGAACTAATGTGCCCTGGGACACAATCAGTCACTTAACTCTCTACTTTCACTGGATATCGATGAAGACCGATCCTACCATACCACCTGACGCTCAATGCTTACGACATGTAAGACAAGCAGATTTTTTGAAAATGTCTAAAAGACCCTCCACTTCATCGACATAATCACCTATAATAGCTGATATTGCTTGTGTACTGTAAATTGACCAGGAGCTCTTCGAAGGAAATCTATTCCTAAGAATTCAAATTCGTCTTCCTTAGTTTATCAACAATCGAACTAAATAAGACTAAGGTGAAGTACAACAATGATAGAAAATGTTGAATTCCAAGACTGGATAATATGTTGCTATAATCCCTTAGAACGCTACGTTAGATTAAGAACGTTTCAGACGGCATATACTTGCGATGGTCGTTTACTAAACGGCAGAACAAGATTGTTCGATCGGTTTTTACCAACGCTTAATGCTGTCTAACGAAACATAAGTTCACCTAACCCAAACTTTTATCTCCCTATAGTTGCTTCAATGAGACGTTCTATTATGCTTCCGGTAGATACATAGACATATGTTCAGCGTGAGATGTTATATCAGCCGAAAAGTGGAAAACGTGAATCTTAGAAAAGTGTCATTGTGTGTATTATTTGACTTATTTCAGGTCATTTTGTTTACGATTTTATTGATAACATATTACTACATAGATTGGTTCAAGAGTTTCTGACTGCCCACTCCCTTCACATATGTATGACTTATAGTTCGGAAATGATTACATGTTGAGTAAATCCATTATTGTGCTTGAAATTGGTTTCATCTTTTAAATTATGGTAAGCTGTGGTCAAGTTACTTAGTTTCATGTCCAGATGAGTCACATCCTCTAAAAGACATGGACAGCAAGCACCAGACTTCGTGTTCTGCTGTACGTGGTTTGGAGGGTCGAATTATGTGACCCATCGTGTGGGTGAATTGAGCATACAAGACCAATCACGTGCAAGGTCAGCGTCAAGAATCGGGAGTATCATGTTATTCAGATGACAGCAAACAAGTAAGAACAAACTGGTACCAAGGTTAACTCAGGAATATAACAGTGGTCCTCTCTGTTATCGAAAGGCTTAACCAGATGAATAAATGAAACTAATAACTCAGGTAACTACTGATGCACAGTGGAATATAACCAGCAAAATACGAGGGTACGAGGTTCGAGTCCCAGTGGGAACACCACTCACTGGGGTGCAGGTACATCCAGCTGACGAGTCCCAAATAGGACGGAACGCGTATCCTGGATTCTTCTGCTAGCCACAACCAACCAAATTATCCTAATTGACATTCAGGCAATATCGAGGTATCCATATAGGAGCCCATATGCCAATAGAGGTCGAACAATTCGATCCAACAAAAACAACGGAGAATAACAAGTTTGTCAATAAATAGCGAAGTACTGCTTGAATTCCTCTCTAAAACGACTGTAAGGCAAAACACTGATCTTCTAACAACCAATCTGAAGTATGAAATGGTTCACACAGTTAGACGACTGCTTATTTATAAGCAGTCTTTGTGAGACTGGATTTATTATTCTTTCAGAGGTAATGGTAACAAAGCACTAGCTTCCCGTTAGCATTCACTCCTGACCATTTTTTTTTATTCATTTTTAGTTTGGGTGAACAAGAATAATCATGTAAAACAATTCGATAAGTATAGTTATCATCTGGCAGTAGACAATCAATTATAAGTGGTGATCTAGAATTAATCAACAATACTCCAAGTCACTCAGTAAAGAGGCTCTGATAGATATGGTGGCATACATTTTTCAGAAATATAAGGATATTCACCCAATTTGAAACTTTGGACACCTTAAGGAATAAAAGATAACTATAGCTATGTAGTATTCTACAGTTTACAAACGTCACCTGCAGTTAAAATTATTTCTTGCAGACGTGATTGAGTTGTCTCGGTAAACAGATGCAAATGTGCAGAAAAAAGATACTGAGAAAACTACGATATATGAAAGACACATTTCAAATACGAGAAGAACTGTACAGATAGATAATGATAATGTTCCTAAATAAGACCATCCATTTCGCGCATAAACTCTTCGTATGCGTCGTCTTTGCTGGTGCTGATCCAGAATGAACACTCACAACATCAGATTTAGCGACACGATCGTAGACAGCACTAGGTTGTTCTGAAAACGAAAATACAAAAATAATAACACATCAAGATGTTCAAGAAACCAGAAGGACTGGGAAGTTCTTCCAAGTAAACATTTCGAAAGCTTATGGATAGTTATAGTAAAAGTAAATAAGACTTCACTAAGTTGGTTGGTGTTATTTATTGCTGAGTTGGGCTGTAGACATTCATATAGTTACAGATCAAAATTTCTTTCAACTTTTCTCAATTTACACAGTTGTTTACTAACACTAACTCAGAAAAGAGTAGGTATTACTCACAGTCTGATATATGAACTTATACGTTGTTATGCTGTCGAATTATCGATAATTTAGGCTAGAGTTGATGTATAAAAGGATAAGTTACATTTTCTTAAAATTATATTAAACGGGTAACTTAGCTCTATAACATTTGTAGTTTCTGAGACAACAATTATAGTACAAACCAAACTTGTTCGCTGCTTGTTTGTTTCTTCATAAATATAACAGTACCCAATCACATGCATCGAAAAGAAAATGTTTTCGGTATACACAGCGCTGGTTATTGTTAATGCACTGATATAGAGTACACTATAAATAACAAGGCATTTGAAGTAATTTACAGAGTGGTTTCTTAAAACCACAAAGTAATTTGACTATGTCATCTATACATACATGACCGAATGATTGGCAATTCATAAACTTAAACCTTATCTTGGTGTTTAAAAACATTACATGAACACATTAATTCTACCACCACCAGACTACTAATCCCCTCATGTTTATTTTCAGTATTTATAAATACGGTATTACAGTATTAATGAAAAAAGTCGTCGAGAAAATTTTTCTCACCGCTACCTCTTTGTTTTATAACTTCATATGGGGATTTTACGTTCGTTAATAAAAATTTGTAACTGCAATACATATAAAAAAAAACTTACTTGCAGTTCCGAAGGCACTTGTACCTCCTCCGGTAGTGACTAAACGACCACTAGTATCACGAACTGTTCGGCGTACTTTAAGCGCTGTAGGGACGAAGCGTGTCGCATCACGATCAAATTCTTTAGTTGAGGTTTCGCCTCAATAGTAGTCCCACTTGGATTCGGTTGGGTGGCAGGATTATTCGCTACAGCCGGACCACTAACAAGCTCGGCGTTATCAAGTGGATCACGAAGATGTAAACTAGGAGGGGCTGATAAAACAGCACCAACAGCTGCTCAAAACAGAATTTCAAGACAATGCATTATTTTCAGAACACTTTGGATAATTGAAAATGATTTGATTCATTTTTGAGGGAAAATTGAATATGAATGTTGCAGTTTATACCTCACAAATTAAGCAAATCAGACTACGGGGTTATGAAACCTAGTTGAAATTACAATTTCTATGCTGAGGTACAAACTTTTAAACAAGCTATACACTAGCGGATTCAAGTAGGCTCTACGGAGACGCACAGCTATTATTAATCTGTTTTATTCTTCAGGTATTTCAAGAAGCAGTAGCATCCCACGGTATGGGCAGGCGGGGATTGTCAACCACCAACATAACTGTCATCATTCACTTACCTTTCGCTTACTATTAGCCTTTCACATCGTTGTCTTCTAGTCTTTCCTCACAGCTCTCCATCAATATTTCGATATCATCTTCAATTTCTTCCTGTTCTGCATCCCCTTGGTAACAATATGTATGAGTTAACGGAGAAGCTTCCCCAGTTTTTTCAAACTACATTCCGCAGATTACAATGTCGACATATTTTGTCAAATAGGACAGCAAGGTTAGATGGCCAAACACAGAAAAAAGCAAAGTAGAACCCTCACACAAGTGCACCAGTTCCATTTAACTAAGCTGTGTTACCAGTTTATCCTGAGAAGCAGTCTTAGCATTAACAGCATCCAGCTGCGTTCGGAATGATCTCGCACGTGTAGCTTTTCTACGTGCTTTTAGTGGTAGATGTTGGTGCGTGCGAACAATACGTGATAACTGTCCAGACACGTGCTCGAGAATGAGTGGTAATCCATTACCAATCAACCCCGGCGACAAGCGATGGTAATTTGAAGTGTAATCATCTTTAAATTGAGATCAGTAGAACATAGATACGTCGACGTCTCTGCTTATGTCCGAAGTTTGTACTGACCAGATATGTATAGGTATCTGAGAAAATTTGCTGCAGGCGATTGGCATTATTTTCTTTGTTCGTATGGGATTCCAAAATTTCCACTTAAGTGCCTTTCTGCCTGAATTAGATACCCTACTTGTGCATTGAAATCGTTTGCTACAATATCCATGTCTGAAAGATTGACTTTTAGCAGGAAGTTAGACAGTTTTCAGCAGAATTAATCCTTCACTTTATCCAAACTACACAGAATACGAAGAAATAAAGATGATTCCACCATTCTTTATAGTTCTCACAGCACCGTTCAGTCGTACAGCTCACAGATGATTTTCAAATGGGATCCGGTGTAGCAGTTTAGTTTCTACCTTAAGATTTGACGCTAAAGACAGCAAGAACTAACCATCAGTCTCCAGAAACTTGGAGAGTAGATTTTGTAGTTTCATCATATTTGGATAATTAGGTAAAGTGAATATCCATATTTGTATCCCCTATGCATCATATAAACACACCATATGTCGGCGACCTCACATGTTACAGTTTTGGTATAGTTTGCTGTAGTTCTTTCTGTCCTGTTATACGACTGTGAGACATGGCTGTTAAAATTTGAGATATGAAGAGGCTACAGGTCTTTGATCATAGGTGCCATCATAGTATTGGTCACGGTTGAATAACCATGTTAGCGATGTCCAGGTTAGATGAAGTGTACTAGGCACGGAAGGCAATTCAGTTGCTGAGGTTGTGAACCTTCATCGACTGAGATTGCTTGGACATGAGATGCGCATCCCCAGCTACCTAAGCAACGAAGGTTCACAAACTCAGCGACTAACTTGCCTTGAATTGTTATTCAAGGTGTCTGTATCTTGTCAGCGTTGACACTCAACAGAACTATGTCATCTGCACACTACAGAACTCCCGTGGTTAGAGCAATCGCTGTGATGTCAGATAATGATGATGAGGAGGATACATCCATAAGAATCGAGTGGCTCCAACACGCTCAGGACTCTAGCAAAGCCCCTTTAACAGAGTTGTGCATTTACTCGGTACCCCTTTCGGTGACAGAAACTGCCGTAGAACATCTTGATCGACGGAGTCGATCAGAGAAATAAAGCCATTGTTGGTAGTCGGCAAGTGTGCCTGTATTCCAGGACCTGGTGGGGAGTGAATATCTGGTCAGTACATGTACAATCAGACCTAGAACGTGTCCGGTTTTCTCGGGCTTGTTGTTCCGGGTTCCACTTAGACGTTTAATAATTATAGGACTTAAAATCTCAGACACTATTTCCATCAGGCTGATTCCCCTGTGGTCATTACAAGAGGTCTCCTCGACTTCCTGAGAGACTGGGACCAATCAGAAAGGATTATATTTGACTCCCATACACTAGTTAACAGTTCAATTAATTTGACTAATAAATGTCGATAACGGTCCTTAAATACTTATGGTACTAATCCGTCTGGCCCTGCTGCTCTTCCTCGTTTCAGGTTACCTACAGCTTCCTCGACTTCAGTAAGTGTTTTGAGGCCTAACTTGATGTTCATGCAGGATTCAACACGATAGCGGGAAATGGAATAGTAGCTGTAAGTCAGTTGAGTTGTTTCTTGAAGTATTCCGCCCATCGTTCCAGTAATCTCAGCTGCAAGTGACTCATCCATCCTTCTTCGCCATAGCCTCACTAACCCTCACCTTTTTGCCCCAGTTTTCTTAATATGCCTAAATGACTGTCCACTATTACGCATAGCTGTTGCCTTTTCCATCTCTTCAGCCTTAGCTACCCATCACTGTCCGTAGTCATTGTGTAGACTCTATGTCAGTCTACATTTGATCTGTATGTGTTCCTCATTGTACTCGGAGCCTGCAGGAATGTGTTTGCGTGCATCCACTATTGGGGAGAAGTGGCTGAAATCCACTCGATCTTTTTAACTACTCTCTGACAGTCCGCTAAGGTCTTCAACGCTGTTGTTACAGGAGACTGGAGACAGGGCCAAGTTTTTTCTATATGAACGATATTGCTCTATTCCGATAACCATCGATTCAGTTCTTCACCGAAAGCTACCTTAGTGCTCTCATTGTCAAACTACACACGCAATGACCTTGTTATAGTTTTCCATGTCTATTTGGCCGCAGACATACATGCTCAAGAAGCAGAGGCAATCTTACACCAACTCTTTTCAACGACAACTGATAGGAATGTAGTCCATCTGTGTCCATCGCTGAGTCGAATTCGATGGATGCCATGTCAGACAATATCTGAATAAATGTTTATGTGAACACAATTGTAGCAGACGTTTGCCATTATTCGTTCGTTCAAATGCGATCCCTAATAAATGCCTTTCCGTCCGACTTAGTCTACCCACCTGTGCATTAAATCACCTGCTACGACAACCACATATCTAAGTATTTGGCTTCCCGCAGAAGACTAAGCAGTTTCAGAAGCGCTCATCCATCACTTCATCGGAACTTAAGTCAGTAGGTTCGTAAGCAGAGATTACAAGGAGACAACGGTGAATTACAAAAAATTTTCTAGTCATCACCTTACTGTTGAATCGCAAAGCGCATAAGCGACTGTTGACTGGGATCCAGCAGGGTAGAGAACTTTGTGCTTTAGTGCTCAGTGCAATACAAACCATTCTAAGACCGCGATATTAGTGAAATTAATTTCCCTATAGTTGTAACAAAAAGACATCTCCCTTCTTAAAGACTGAGATGACCATTGAACTAGATCAGTCTGATGGCACTGCCTCGGATTGCCATACACTACGCGGTACCCATCTCACTTCATTTAGCTATCTCCTACTTTCATCCGTAAAACCTTTGGGTGGCAACCTATCAGGTTCTGATGATTTGCAATCGTTTCAGGTTCCATGTGCCTTTTTCAACCTAGACGAGAGTTGGAGGACCAACATATACGTCCCATTCAGGTTCAGGTTGGACGCAGCGCAACTCAAGCGCTGCTGAGGACCGGCTGAAATGTGCTTCAAAGTGTTTTGTTCAACGTTCTAGCCGCCTGCCCTAGGAAGTTACCAGCGTCACATCCTTTTCGGCGATGATTCACTAACCATCGTCTCTCTCCTGTTAGTATTCTTAATAAGCCTAAATAGTTGTTGAGTGTTATCCAACGGTGATGCCTTCTCCATCTTTCTGGATCTCGTCACCCACCACTGCGGGTGATCAAGGTGAAGACTCTTAGTCAGTTTACGTGTAGGTTGCTTTCGCTCTTCATAGTTATCAGAGCCAGTTGGAATCAGTCTTCTAACGTCAATCAGTTCGGATGACGTAGTGACGTGACGTCCGCTAACCTTCGGGTGTAGGTTATATTGTGTCTACCGTTGTTTTTACAGCAGACCTAATATCACACCAGGCTTCCATAGGATGAGCATTGCTGTTATGTTCACATAAATGCTTAGCTAACTCCTAGATAAATGGGTACTCGGTTTCCTCCTCTACCAACTAAACATAGATGGGCCTCACTGCCCCCTGTTTCCTGCAACCAGTAAGGCGGAGATATACACGAGCCCGCAATAGCGTGTGATCGGAATCCCAACACGTGCTCTAGAAGGTGCGCCAATCCCCCCACCATTCCTCTCCAAAGATGGCTTACAGCAATGTGATCTATTTGTCTTTATCGTTGGTTTGATGTCGGCGGACATCATGTGAGACAGTGTCTCTCCTTACGCCTAAAGTTAGTGTTGGCGAGAAACCAGTTATAGTCGGAATAAAATTTCAACAAACGATAACCGTTATCAGTCCGTTGATATGGGACTCAGTAAATATCTCCAAGATGCCTTTGCGACTGCTATTATGACATTTGAACACTGCTTTCTGTAGCAAAGTTGACAGCTCCTAGAATTCATCATTTGCATCACCCGAACTGCAGTCAATGGGTGCGTAGGCAGAGTCTACGAACAGGTGTCGGTTAGTCTCACCATCCTTCCCAGCTATTACAGACCATTCAGTCGAACAATGTATACACGGTTGTTGACTGGTATCCAGTCGAGAAGAGCACTTTCTGCTCTACAACTCAATGTTATGCCTACACTAGCGAGTCCACGAGAGCTAGCCACTAGGTCTCAAGATGCTCTTAAGGTCAGTTTTGAAAATCCAATACATTGGCCAAGTGAGACCAATTTAATAACCATACTCGGATCTTGTATACGTGTTTCGGAGATATAGCATATATCCATGGGTACAGATCCCAGAGTTTTGGCAAGTGATGCTTGCTGTGCGGTTCGGATAGAGTTCAGACGTTGACAGCTTCTACATGAAATCGATGGTAAGGTTTTAGGAGACTAGGAATGAGGTTTAGATGGTTTAGGTCGTTCGCAATGGTTGCAGAATGAGGTTGAAGAAGTTGTAAGAGGCTTAACATTAGTATCAGGAGGTGAAGGCGAAGCAAGAGAGAGACGTGAGGAGGATATGTTATGCTTGATTGGACCTCGAATGGTACTGGAAGCGTGCGGGTGGTCGACACTTTCCGGCTGCTCGCACCATGGAAGGATATATCTTCCTAGAGTACCTGAAAGAGAAAAAGACTTGAGTGACTGCAGAGCTCACAGGACACCTGATTGAGAACTGCAGTATATAGCCTTTTGGGGATTGCTTTCAGATTTGGTTGTTGTAATGCCAGACAAAGGAAATCCATTTCGCCGACAGCGGAAAACTGTGGGGAAAGGAGCAGTGTGCTACTTCGGAGTCAACCTTCTCTAACCTCCCCATCCCGTAGTGAAGGCAGCGTCCGCTTGGCAGTGTTGACCAGTCAACAGCGAATAGTCGTTTAGACTGGTCAAGGAAACGGCGGCAAAAAAACCAACGGTTAAAGAGAACACAGAGTAAAAGGGTCGCTCTGTGGTTCACTGGCAGGTGAAATGACTAAGACTATGGGTGGAACACTTTAATTAAAGGTCCAATTGCCTTTCAGCTTCTGTTTTGTTGCCTGCTATCGCACTGCATTCTGGATGAATGACTGAGATAAGCCCTAAAACATTATCAGAAGTTGAAAACACTAAGTAAAATGGAATGAGGAAGAATAGTAGATTTTTTTAAATGACAGTACCTGAGATATTTATAGACAGTTGTTAGGGAATATTGGTTCAGTCTGCTGAAATGTTAGTTGGGTACATGGATGAGATATAACCGCCCCTAAATAGTCTCAATCACTGACTGTCCCAAACTTCAAGAGAGAAGAGGAATCTTGTGATAACCACGGGTGAATCAGTTTGACGAATATAGAATTTCAGATTCTAGGTTCTTTAACCATAAGACGTCTAAGCGAAGCTTAAGAAGAGCGAAAACTAGAAAACAGACAGGTTTCAGACCTGTTCATGGGTGTTTCAGTTAATTCTCCACCCTCACCAAGTTATGGAACACAGGCACGCTTGCTGGTGACCTACACTACCCGTATTTCCTGACCTGAAGACGGTATTCGACCCCATAGATTGAGAGGTTTTATAAGTATCACACTGAAAAGATTACAGAATAAGTGCACCACTATGCTGAAGGCTCTTTACTCGAACACCCATGGGTGTGTTACAGTTTATGATGAGTTGTCACGTGAACCATGTACATCGAGTAGTGTTCGCCAAGGATGCCCCATCTTGTCAGTCTTGCTTAATTTTGTTACAGAAGTGGTCATGGAAGCCTTTTTCTTCTTTCTTTACTTTACAGGGAAAGGACGACCGGATACTTTAGTAAACCTAGAAAACACAGATGATATAGTCCTGTTAGGTGAAGACGTAGACAAGACAGTCTTCTGAACACTTTGAGTGACCGTTTGAGGTTTTTTGAGATGCGTTTCTCATAATCAAAATGAAAAATTGTTGTTTTAAGACTGACCTGCGTTGGTGTTTCGTCTGACAACACGGAGTGAAGTGGTTCAACATGTTGGTCAATCCACACTGGAAGTCAAATTGGCCCCAGTTGGTCAGTAACCGACGAAATTTCAGTACCAAAGGAAACGATATGACTGGATTTTGCCAACTTACGTTATCTATGACGTCGCAGCTCGCAATGCCCTACTATATGCTTTGAAACATGGTCATTAAGGTAGAGGACGTGACGTTGTATACATTAAAATGATAACTGCCCTTGTATCATATGCTACATGTAGCAGTGCCATCGTGTCAGTAAGGTGGAAGTCAGGTGTAGGATTCTAGGTAAAAGCAGGGTCGATTGATGAAATTGTAAGCGTCCACTAGCTATAGTGTTCAGACGTGTTGTGCATGTTTAGTAACAGTCTTCCTCGTCTTGGAGCTTTAGTTGAAGAAATGTTTAGGGTGAAATAAGGTAAGAGGTATCCAGACTACAACATGGCATCAGTCCATGAAACCTCTGACTGTCGGTCAGAGCTGTGTAGGGGAAGTGAACTTTCTGGATGGGCTCCGCATGACAAATGAAATCGGTGGTTGGAGACTCTACCTCACATGGTTCAAAATCGATGTTAGGAGTGCAAATGCAACTAAACACGTTTTATTAATCTAAATTTGTATATCGAACAGCCTAATTGTTATATTTCTTCTAGTTATCTTTTTACAACTCCCTACCAGTCTTGATTACTTTTTTTAATCTTTATCGTTCATCTTCATGTCTCCTACCTTGATGTGCTGAAACAGGGGTTTCTTGATTCACAATGCAGCACAACGCGAAACAAACTAGTAGTGCGCATCCCATCACAAATAAGTTTAATAGGAGATTTGGATAGCGAACACCTGTCACACGATTATAATACTGCGAGAATTGATGGTTAAAGATGTTACATTCCAATTTAACGAAAGAAAGTCAAGACTTGCAAACAAGTCTGGCAGATCTAACCAATTTAACTGTAAGAGTGCACCAAAACAAACTTGAGCGGAGTAGATTATTACCTCAAAAAACTAGGTAGATATATGAATCAACGTAGGATCTTCAAAAGAAATGTATTAATCTCAAGAACAGGAAAAAAGATGATGAAATTGACAGTATTTTGTGAGATTCTGACATCATGAGGACTCACGTCAGGTTGGTACGCCTCCATACATTCTCACTTTTTGAACAAAGCTTGAATTCAAGCTACATTCCAGCAACTTCAAACTGAACAACAATGCAGTACCAGGAGACCTCATATAGTAGACATATCTCACAACCTAGTACACAAATCTAAACTAGGTGGCTGAGGTGCATATATTACATTAGAGAAGGCAGTTCACAGATGATCGGCGTAAGACAAACTATAGTCTTGCGTAGCGGCAAAAGATAAGTTTTGCAGTACAATCATACCACACTTTCGGAAATCTTTATTTCACTTATGGATTTACATAATATAAACATCCAACGAATGAAGCCGGGGTCGCGCATCTATCAGTGGAAACAAAATTCTCCATCGTAAATTGAATGCTGTGAGCACAGGTATTCTTTGGTAACCTACAGTTATCTTACATAAGAAAGTGCAAAGTTTCTTGCAATAATATGTTAATATTGATGTTGTGCGAAAAAGCAGTTACATCATATAAGTATACCTTGTTTCAAAAAATTTGATTTCATCTATTTACCAAACATGTGAAATCAGTATATATATATATAATTAGGAACTACAAGCTTATAAAAAAATTCGGCAACAAGTAATCAGGAGAAATCAAAATACTAACTTACGGCGTTGGTAAGCGAAACGATTTGGAGTAGGTTGAGGTGTTCCAGGAAATCCAGGACGAATGAGACCAGTAAAAGATGGTAGAGACATGGGTGGTGGTAAAGGAATCTGTGAGAGTGGCGGAGTGATTGCTATGAAGTAAAAAGTGAGGTGAAAGAGATATTTGAATATGTAAAGATTGATGAGTTTAAGATAAATTACAACTAAGTTTTATTTGATAGAATTCGAGTAATAGTATGAGTAAAAGCACTGACACCAATCGTATAGGCGAAAGGAAAAGACAAAAAGGCGGTTGCAGCGAGTAAAACATTTTCTCTTTGACGATGTCACTTACTATGCTACGCATTTGTGGGGAGAATATTCCACAATTTTTTCCTGTGAGAGATCAAAACACACTGAATAACGATGGGGGCTACGTAACACAAATGAAGGTTTAGGGTAGGAAAACAAACAAGAGATTAAGAAATTAAAAAACATAATTACGTGGCACAGGATTTATCCGGGACAGTTAGGGGTTTATGATGGTCATGGTAGACATAAACGTTGAACGTACTTTTTTGGGTTAAGGGCGCTAGTTTGAACATCTGGATGGCTAGTGCTTCAGCCACACCCAAATGCTTTGGTCTCATTCCCTCATTTGTACTGCGTAACTTCCCTTCATTATTCGATATGCTTTGACCCCTGGCAAGAAATAATTCTGGAATACTATTCACACCGTAACATATATTCACGAATATACAGCTTAGTAAGTGACTTCGAGAAAAAAATGTCTTCGCTCCAATCGCCTTTTGTCTTATCCGATAATAATAATATGGGTAATTGTGGAACATTGCTAGTACCACTAGTGCTTATCAAACAGACTGCAGAAAAGTATACGAACGCTCCGGATTTAAGCCAAATTCTGATTTGAGCTCATATCTTATACGAAAGAACTTGAGATGTAAATGGAGCTATATAATATTTAAATATGATTTGCTAGTGCGTTTCATAGAACATAATGTGAAAAATGGTTAGTTAAAGCACTAATATGGATACTTACAATATCTAACTTACTTGGAAATCCACTGGTAAACCGTTCGACAGGTTGTTGTGATGGATCATTAGCCAGTTCACCTTGTTCTGGCTGAAAGAGAAGTTTGGTTAATATGGGTACTACAACATACCATAGAGTCCGCATCAGCAAATCGAATTTTGCGCGGTTTCGTCGCACCCTCCAGTGCACCATCTTCTCCTTCACTATCAGACAATTCGGGAGGCGTACCCGGAGGTGGTCCTGGAGGTTTACGACCTGCAGGAAGTACACTTGGGGGAAGACCTGGGGCTCTGTCAGTAAAGATCAGTACGAATAAAATCGAAAATGAGTTTCCTGTTAGCTTTACTATATGAATCTAGGAAACATCAGAAATATCCAGCTATAATACAACAGGTCTATCGTTTCGTTGTCTAGTTTATGACACTAAAATATTACACAAATAAATCTGTGTATAAAGCACACATATGGTATGCTTAGTGGCGGTCACCAGACAAATGGACTGATCAACACATTTGTCCAAGTTGCTACATCATCTCAGGAGCATACAAAGAACAAGTAGACAGTAAGACAATGGTACCGAAGGAGACAAAAGTGTAGGTGAGAAGAGGGTTGTTTCATCTTAATGAAGGTATGTGGAAATTTTTAAACTTCAGATGTTAGAGTGAACACACGTGGACCACTGTGACCAACATCCAGCCACTTTATCAAACTTTCAACCACTAATCTCAAGAACCCCAACCAGACGTTCTGTTCTGTGGCTCAGTGGTTTAGGGAAATAGCTATCAACCATCGGGTCACGAGTTCGAGCCCCGTTCCCCATGCCGGGGTTTGGGCAGCCAGGTAGTGTCACTTGCCTTTACACAATAGGCATAGATTGTTGCTTTTGAGATCTACGCGACTCAAAATAGCAGTCAGAAACTTCATGGAATGGTGCCAGATCCTAGTCTGATCACCCTTACTCTTCTACCAACACAAGCCTACTTCATCTAAAATGATGGATTCAGGTGTGCAGCAACTGAGCACGTACAACACAAAGTATCTAAAACGGTGAAGTTTCACAACTTATTCGATTAATTCGCTTCCCTTGTAGCCTACATGTAACCTCCACATTGCGCACATAGAGACTCCCATGAAACACAAGGAGTACGAAGAAATTTGTGACCAAAAACATGAAATCTCACGTCTACATTTAATGACCCCACGGCTATGAAATAGAAAAGAGCGAACTGTTGAGCAGTAAACTTTTATTCAATGGATAGTCCGGCACCTATCCGGTACCATAAATGGAGAAATTTGCAAATGCCAAGCAGGATTAGGCATCGAAGGTGGGATTTAGTCAGCAACTAGCCTGTTGAAGATGGTACGGATTCCAAAGTAAGCGAACCAGTTAACGCATTCTAGCACTTCACTCCTTATCCTTCAACTAGCAGCTAGCACAGATCAGTCTTCAAGAATTGTTTTACACTTGGCGGGTGCAAAACGCATGCTAAACATACTCAGATCTCCAATGGTGTTCTCTATGAACGCAACCCTTTCACACTTCACAAATTACCGTTTAAACGAAAAGTTTCCTTCAAATGAAATGCAATAGTATTGTTAATGAATCTAAAACGAAGTTGTTTTCAACGTGCATGTCAGATAACAAAACGACCACAAGACTGACTCTTCCACTGTTTTGTTATGGCAGTATATTTGTAGTTTTTAGAGCGAGCACTGAATATTTTCAGTGTTAAAAATACTACTGCGATTTAGGTTTTAGCTGGTATGTGGGTGTCAGGCACAATTCTGACTCTGGAATGCCAACAGAAGCGTGAGGATGGTTGACATTTCGCTGTTGCTCACACTGTAGAAAGTTACCTTTTTGTTGCACCTGAAGAGCGTAGTAGATTGGTAATGGTCGTGCGTCACTGCGTAGTCTAATTAATATTTACCTGAAGCCACTTGTAAATGCCCTGCATACATTTGAAATTTACTTCTATTGTCCTAAATCTAACAGGAAAATCCATATCATCAGCACCGAAAGACCACAGGGTAAAAAAAAGTCGATATTTTTGAGGTCACTCTTATAATTTTCCTTTCCATATACCGTAGGGAAGGTAGCATCAACATTGACTGCTGGTAACTCACGAGGATCACTTTAAAAAGCATCTATATCCAACAAAGCCAGTAGTATGTTTTTCCACTGACTTCCGTCACAGAGTAGCCACTTACATCATAACAGCTATTGCCTTTTTGTCTTACTACTATCTAACGGACCTTTCTGATGTGAAAATACATAAAGGAACAACTGTCTAATCTAAATAGCTTTTGGGTCATCGTAATATACAAACACAACTACTGCTTTTAAGCACCAGGTAAACTTAACTGGTCTGGACTATTATTTGCACGTGGCAATGAGAAATGAAATTCTTGTGATAGCACAAATTTTAAAACCCTAAAGCCCATATTTATTCTACGATTAACTCGAGATCAGAAACACAAAAGATGGGAAGGATAAGGAAATTTTGGATTTGTCATAAACCCTGAAAGACAAAGACACTGTTGCCTTGCTTCTGTTACACTGCTCGACTTTGTTGGTGATAACGCCTTTGAATATAGGTAGAAGCTGTGCCGATGGATTATATTGCATCTCAAAAGGCTTCAATTATTACAATGATGGTCAGTTAAAGGTTACTGAGAAGACTGCTCATAGCGACTAACGACCTCTATTTTACTTAGTTTTGTCACTAGTGGGCTTTGGGGGTATGATTTTCTCTAGCAGGATTGGCTGAACTGCTTGATAATGATAAAAATCACTTTATTCGAAACTATTTTTGATACAATTTGGAATTTTCAACATGTAATACTGCAACAAAATATGCATACTCCTTTACACTTCGAATAGTGTGAATATAACTATTTAAGTTACGTAACGAATATCAATAAGAAGGAGAATTTTACATTGTTAGTTGAACTATTGGAAAAAGAATATTGACTGCTGCAAAGTTGCGTTATGATTTAACGTTTTTCCTCAAATAATATACGTGATAAGTAAAACAGTCAAACTCTCGTAATTAGCTGGATGAGCGAATAGTTTTACGCAAATTTTTTCTCGTCCTCCCTGAGGAAACACAAGGGGAGAGCTGTAAATAAAGTCCCGACCGATAGCTGCTACCTTGACGTGGTGGTCGGGCTTGCATATCACAATGACCCAACGAGCTATGCTGGTGGAACGCTTGTTCCCTCGAGGTCCTACCATACCAGAAAGGTCTGTTGGGTAGTGGTTAGACGAAAAGCAGTTACCGTTATAGTGTAAATTGCTACACTATGATGGGGGTCTGAGGGCGAAGTCGTACTGCTGCTAGCTGGATGGGGTGTGACAGCAGTAAGGTGTTTCCCTTGGATGACCAGCAGTGCCAAGCTGATGCTGCCTTCTCAGTGGAAGGGGGGGTTAGAAAAGGTCGGCCCCAAAAATAACACACTCCACCACGCCCCACGGTCTGCCGGGCCGGCGGTGTTGGTTCACTTGTCGTTTCCTTTCGCTCATCCGGCCCCAAAAATACAAAAATTCAAAATAATCATACTCAAAAGGCTGGGTGTGACAGGCCTCAAGCAGATGTCCGATGGGCTCTGCGGTCACACAAATCTCTTTCAGGTACCTTAAGAAGAAATAGCCTTCCACGGTGTGGGCAGCCGGGAAGTGTCAACCGCCCTCACAACTCTGTCAGCACCCAAGTTTCTTCTGACTGCTATCCTCCTCCTCCATCATTACCTTCTAATCTTCCTTCACGTCTCTTAATTAATGATGCTGCATCATCTTCAATTTCTCCTACCTCTGCAGCCTTCGACAACGATCTGAGTCCACAGAACAGCATCCCTGGTCTCCTTAAACCACGCTCCAAATTACATATTGGAGCCTTCAATGTCCGCACCCTCCGTCAAATTGGCCAACAGGCTTCGTTGGCAAAGACTCTAGCAACTCGGGCATGGATGTGTGCTGTGTTTGTGAGACACGCATACAGGACCCAAGTGTGGTTATTCACCTGACCTCTCCTGACCAATCTGGTGAATCTGCAAAATTCACCCTTCGAGTTTCTGGAGATTCGATAGCTAGCTCTCGTGGTCTTGCAGGTGTAGGTATAGCATTAAGCACCAGGGCAGAAAACTCACTACTAGACTGGATCCCAGTTGATAGTCGCCTCTGCGCTATGAGGCTGAACGGCACAGTGAGAACTAAAAGGAATAGTGAGACTCGCCGTTGTCTCTTTGTAATCTCTGCTTACGCACCCACTGACTGTAGTTCGGATGAAGTGAAGGACGAGTTCTACCATAAACTGTCTAACCTCCTCTCGAAAGCCAAACGTTCGGACGTAGTGGTTGTTGCAGGTGACCTCAACGCACAGGTGGGTAGACTGAGTGAGGCAGAAAGGCACTTAGGTGGCACTTTCGGAATCCCAGCTGAACGTACAGATAACGGTGATCGCCTATTACAACTATGCTCAGATAACCGCCTATTTTTAGCCAGCACAAATTTCAGACATAAAGAAAGGCACTGTCTGACCTGGCGTCCACCGAGCTCGACTCAGCGATGGACACAGATAGACCACATTGCTATTAGTCATCGCTGGAGAGGATCGGTGGAAGACTGCCGCTCCTTCTGGAGTACGTGTTTGGACAGCGATCATGCGTTGGTCCGAGCACGTATATGCCTGCGTCTCAATGGACGTAGAAAAAATTTGGCAACAAAACCACTACGAGTTCTGCTGGACAACGAAAACACCAAAGCCGTGTTCAGTGAGAAGTTGGCTAGGCAGTTATCGGAACAAAAGACTGTCACTCATCCAGAAGAAGCTTGGTGCCATCTTCAGTCTACTGTAAAAGCAGCACTGGAGACTGTAGCCGACTCCAAGATAATGGCTAAAAAGAGCCAGTGGATATCAGCAGCTTCTTCCAAACTAATGGATGCACGTGAATGCATCCCTGCAGGCTCTGAGTACAATGAAGAGCGAGCGCAACTTAAAAATAAACTGACGAAAAGTCTGCGCAACGATCGTGAACAGTGGTGGGCAGCAAAGGCTAAAGAGATGGAAAAGGCAGCGGCGATCGGTAACAGTAGACAGTTATTTAGACTTATTAAGGAGACTGGGGGGAAATGGTCAACAACAGTTAGTGAGGTTATAGCGGAGAAGGACGGATCGGCGATTCACTCGCAGGGAAGGCGACTGGGACGATGGGCAGAACACTTTGAGGAACAGTTTAACTGGCCTCCAGCCACCATTGCGCTGCCCGCTATCCAGTCGGACCCTGAATG